TATCCCCGCGATAAATCCTCATCGAGGGAGTCGAAATTATTACCCGGGAACCATGTCGAGAGCTCTGTCCGAATGATTACGAGTTTTGGTCAACCGGTTCCATCGCGATACAAAAAGGTTCCTTGTGGACGAATGGTCGGAATGGCACAATACGTCCACACAGCGATCGACTTATCGAAATTACGACGAAGACGAGGATCACGCTTGATGTACCTTTTCGTATCGGCCACTCGAGAGATTTCTGTTCGCTTCTTTCATTCGATTACTAGTTGCGTAAGCCTCCGTGGAACTTACGATACGGAAAAAATAGTGAAAAAGGGGGGCCACGAGTCCGTGTAATAAATTGTATCGCACGAACAGGATTTTTTCCGAGTAAAGAGACCAAGGTTCTCGGAAGAACGAAAACAGAGGCGTAAAAAGAGTTTTCGAGAAGTCGTCATCTGGAACGTATAAATACCCGGTGTCCCGTGAAAAATCGAACCGGCTGGAAGCGAACTGCAGAACAAATATGGAGGACGGGGTAGGGGACAAAAATCCGTGACTTTTCGTCGGGGAAGCGTGGTTTTTATCGTCATTAATTCCGGGGATATCTCCGGCGTCACGGCAAGGGTGACTTTCTTTCCTCGTACGAACAGAGATTATGGATCCGCGTCTTCCCGACAGACGAGTCGCTCGGAAAAAAAGAGGACCAAGGCGTCTGTACGTTTTTCGACGCTCCACGGTCCATCGTGGACCGAGAGAATCCTCTCGCTGATGACTGTGCTTTGAGTTAGCAGCTGGGCTAGGGCCAAACGAGCAAACTTTTGATATCCGTGTGCATGGCGCAAAGGTGAGCGGAGGAGAGACCGATTCGGTAGGACGAAAATAAATTCTAGCAACGTGCGTGTTCAACGTTCGTCGAGACAGGTCGTCCTCGAGGTGAGGAATACGCTATTTTCCAGGAACTCGGGGAGGAGGCCGAGCAGCTGGACGAAATATGGAACTAATCGGAAGACAGGAATGGCAACCGGTGCTCTCGATCTCCTCCGGTTTCGGAATAAGCCATCGACGAGAGAGCGTGTCCCGTAAAAGGGCGTCCGTAGGCCGTGGAAGTCTCGGCCAAAGTCACGGCGAAACGATGTCGGGTCACGGTGTTTTCTTAGGAAATACGGTACCATGGGAAACGCGGAGTGGCTCGCGATGGCTCTAGGCAGAAGGGAGGATGACGCAGTGCCGCGCAATTTTCCCGGCCGTTGCGAAACGAAGACGACGATGACGACGACGACGCGGATGACACGCAACTGACGATCGCTCCGTGGATATCGGGGCGAGGTAATCGATTAGAAAGGAGCCGGGACAACGCGTCGCGTGGATAGTCGGTGAAGGTCGAGTCACGCCTGAACGCAGCGCGCCGGAAGAAGAGAGTTTCCATGAAGTCATCCGGCCCCAGACACGACAGATATTTGCAAGGTCGAAAGTAATTAAAAGCGAATCGAGCTGCGAGCCGCGGCGAAGAGAGTCGTGCCACGGGAACGCGGGTACTTGCGGCCGAGCGCGATTAAAGCGTTACGAGATGAAGGCATTCCCTCGTGTACCGGGTGTTCCAACCGAATGCAAGTCTTCGTTGGACACAATCGAGGATGAAGTACGCGCGCAAAGTCAATCGCGAACGTCTTTGTTAGCAAACGACGAGTTTCGCAAAAATTTCGCGGACGCTTCCGGCAGTGATGCAAACGAAATTCCTGGAACGAAACGACCGAGAATGACTTTACAAAAAGACAGAGACAAGTGTCTGGGAGAGATTTCTAAAATGCGAATTCCGGCAGCTCGGACTCGGCCGATCTCGAATTCCAAGTTAAGAGGAAAGAAACGAGCAACTTCTAGAAAGCTCGGTGACTGCGAGCGATACTCACGACCAACCAGTTCCACCCGATGCCTTCTATTTTCACCTAACAGGATCGGAGGTCCGAGCAACGCGTACCTTGCACGCAACGCGCGTGCGTCAGAGCGTACGCGCGTGTTGCGCCACGGGCTCGTAAATCGCGTGGCAACCTCTATGAAAAAACGGCATAACCCGCGCGTGTAATCGGCCTGGCCGCATACCCGCAACGACGGACCGTCGTCTAAAACGGTGAAAAACTCTGGTAATTGCGGCAATGAGCGTTTAACCCGTTACTCGATGCCACTAAGCTCGCGACAAGGCCACCGATACGTAACGAACCGCTTCTGGGAACAATAAGCGTCGCGTCGGCGTTTTCCGACGACGCCTCGAGAGTCCGAGGACAGCGAGAAGAAGGATGACACTGACTGCTCGTTACCGTTAGCGACGCGATGAAATTCCTCGGCCGATCGGAGTCGCGTCACGGTAGCGTTGAATTCTGCCGCGTGCACGCCTCGTAACCGGAGAACCCGGCTCGTTGCCCGCACGCGTTGGAACTCGAGCGCGGTCGCGCCAGGAAACCGCGCGTACCTGGATGGACGCGACTCCCCGGCGACGAGTAAAAATCCATTTTTACCGATCGACCATCCTTCAAGGTTCGCGTTACGTAAATATCGTATCGGCGACGGACGGCGTAAAACGAGCAGCCGTTGTGGAATTTCAGCGAGCAAACAGGTAGCGACGAACGGGGAAGCGAGCTTCCGGGAACTCGAGCCGAGAGGAAAAATAAATCGCGACTTTTAGCCGACTGGAGAGACACGCGATCGGCACCGTGCACGCGTTCCAACCGACTCGTTCCTCCACCGATCTCCAACTCTGCTCATCCGTACGACCAGAGGCTTCTATCGCGAAGCGGAATCGCGACCGCTGTACGCGATTTCAGAACCGGGCGAATTTCCGACCGCGAATTATTCTGGTCGCGAACCACCGGCAGACCTGAGGGAGAAGAAGTTAACGGTTCGGGGAAACTAGATTTCACCGGGCGAACATAATCGAGTTGAATTTTTAACCGGCTACTGTTGCCGCCGCCGTAGCCGGTTCCTGAAAGACGACCGAACTAATCGAATTAAAAACGCTCATGAATTTTAATACTTCCGCCACCGTGAAACGGGAGTACAGTCGAATGGAATCCGCGTGGCAGGGCCGTCCGTCGCGAAGTCGGCTAAATTTTCAATCGCTGCTCGTCTCCGATACCTCATTTTCCTCCACGTCTGCCGCCGATGGGAAGCCAGAAAATTTGTACAGTTGTAATCACAGCGAACGAGGCTGGATCGTTTTCCATCCAATTCCGTTCTCCTTGAGTACGCGCGCCTACTGTTTGCTCGCTTTATCTCTCCACGCGTAAGACGTCGGACGAATTACAACGCGGCGCGATTGCGCAACCTCGGGAACGAAAAGAGGACGAGTATCTCGGACAAAAGACGACCCGTAATAACGATCGATTTCGTTATCACCGGGGAGAAGCTGGCGAACCCGGAAATCGACATCGTCGACGACGTCGCTACTGGTCAGCGTAATCTCTTAAACAATCGACATCGCCGCTTAGACCATTGGGAAGAGACATCGCGCTCCCATTTACTTCTAACCGACCAAACAAATTCATCAGCGAACTGTGTCAATACAATAAACTTTGGTCGTAGAAGGTTCCAGAGCAGGCCGATAAGAGCTCCGGGTAGGAAAAGTTTCGCGGAGGGTAGGAGAAAGAAAGAAGGGGTGGAAGAGGAAGATGAAGAGGAAGAGGAAAAAGAAGAAGAAGAAGAAGAATAAGAAGAAAAAGCAAGGAAAAGGAAGAAAAAGAGGGAACCCGTGGAGAGTCCGATTGTGGGTCACTCGCCGTCCCACTTTCTCCTTTCTCCGCGTGTCACGGACGCCGTGTCCCAGCGAAGAAGAAAAGAGGCCTTTCCACGGCGGTGTTTCATACGGGAAGAAATATACGGCCGGTTGGAAAGCGGAGAAAACGCGGCGTCCGGTGGAGGTCGGAGAAAAAGCGAGAGGAGCATCAGGTGAAAGGACGAAAAGGCCGCAATCGAGGCGGTCTGTCAAGCGGACAGGCGATCCTGGTGGAAATTTAGCGGTGCCTGGGGAACGGAAATAGCCGCGAGACTTGGTGGATCCGGCGTGCAAAGGGATCGCGCGATACACGCGGAAAGAAATACGCTCCATGCAAATTGCCGGTTTCCCCGGCGCAACATAATTACCCCGCGGAATGGGTCGGGTTAAATCTGGCCTCGGCTAGGGGACGGGGATACGCGAAAAAGGCCGACTACAAAGCGATAATGCCGGAAACGAGCGGAGATGCAAATGAGAGTCGCTGTTAGCCGTGGACAGAGAGGAGATCGGTCGGCGAGTTGGCCGAGCCATCCGGTCGCCGGCACCGGCTCGCAGGTGCGCGTTGTAATCGATTCTCGCGATCGAAACGAGCGCGGAGAAGCGAAGCTTTGCCGAGGGATTAGTACGATTATCCGAATAATTAGCCCGGAGTTGGAGGGATGGCACGGCAAATAAAGCTTCGCCCCGGCCGATTCGAATTCCATCGGTGTATATTTGCTCGCATAGCTGGCGCGCGTTGCGAGTGCACCTCCAGGCGCGCGATTGTTCCCCGCGAACGGGCAAAAATTCGCTACGCAGGCAGATCAAAACGCACCGCGGTACGCGTTCCGCTCGTAACGTCGATTCCATCGGTTGATCGTTGATTAATTTCGCGAGAAATCACGCGTTCCGCATGATCGGTCTTCGCGTGATTAACGACGGTAGCCCGGAGGTCTTTGTTCCCGCGAGAATCTCCAGGATCGCGGTCATACCTGAACGCAACGAAACACGTTGCAATTCCCCCTAATTCTCCTCTAATTCTCCTCTAATTCCCGTCTAATTCTCGTCTAATCTTCGTCCTACCGATTCGATATACGCGTCACGATCGCGCACAATTTCGCGAGCCGTTGCCCTCGTGATCCCGGGAATCGTTTCGATTTAATCTCGCTGATTAGGCCACGCGGTCCCACGGGGGAACGCGAGGATACGGGGTCGGTAGAGACGGAGAGTAGCGCTAACGCGGAGAAAAGAGCGATAAAAGTAGATGACTCACCGATCGCCTTGCAGCTTCCGCCGTGCAGGGAGTCTCCGGCGAGCTGAATGATGGCCATGAGAAGATCGCCGAGCATCAGGCAGGTGACATGATGAGTCTGGCAACGCCAGTGCAGAACGTGATGAGAGGCTGGCAGCAGCCAACCGGCGGCCAGCGTCGCTGCCAGGAACACCGCGCTAATGATGAAGCCCACGGGGTACAAGGTGAACCTGATGTCGGCCGCCTGCATTATCGGTCTGAAAGTTTTCCAAACAAATCGTTTCCTTTTACTTTCCATATTTTTTATAGTAGGACGAGTCATTCGTCGCGATTCTATCGCAATTCCATCGCGGAGAATCGTCAACGCGGTTCCCGATCGCGGTACTTTCTTGCCAGCTCATACCGATCGGTTTGAAAGTTTTCTAAATAAATCGTTCCCTTTTTACCTTCCATATTTTCTATAGTAGTACGAGTCATTCGTCCCGATTCTATCGCAATTCCATCGCGGAGAATCGTCAACGCGGTTCGCGATCGCGGTACTTTGTTGCCAGCTCATACCGATCGGTTTGAAAGTTTTCTAAATAAATCGTTCCCTTTTTACTATTCACATTTTCTATAGTAGTACACATCATTCGATCCGATTCTATCGCAATTCCATCGCGGAGAATCGTCAACGCGGTTCCCGATCGCGGTACTTTCTTGCCAGCTCATACCGATCGGTTTGAAAGTTTTCTAAATAAATCGTTCCCTTTTTACCTTCCATATTTTCTATAGTAGTACGAGTCATTCGTCCCGATTCTATCGCAATTCCATCGCGGAGAATCGTCAACGCGGTTCGCGATCGCGGTACTTTGTTGCCAGCCCATACCGATCGGTTTCAAAGTTTTCCAAGCAAATCGTTCCCTTTTTACTATCCCACATTTTCTATAGTAGTACACATCATTCGTTCCGATTCTATCGCAATTCCATCGCGGAGAATCGTCAACGCGGTTCCCGATCGCGGTACTTTGTTGCCAGCTCATACCGATCGGTTTGAAAGTTTTCTAAATAAATCGTTCCCTTTTTACCTTCCATATTTTCCATAGTAGTACGAGTCATTCGTCCCGATTCTATCGCAATTCCATCGCGGAGAATTTTCAACGCGGCTCGCGATCGCGGCACTTTGTTGCGTGCCAATACCGATCGCGTTTTGCTCTGAAGCGCGATCGACGGTTTCGAATGCGGCTATATCTCCTGTTCGTTCCACGAAACGCCCATCGGTGTCTCGATACTCGAATTTCGACGCAAATCCACGGCCCATTCCACGCTCGAACTACAACCGCGCCAGTGAAAGTTCAGGAGAAATCGTTTCTCCGATTTCGTGAGAGGATCTTGGCTCGGTCACGTAGTCGCGCGTTTCTCCGAACGTTCGAGAGCCCATCGGAGTCTCTTTCTCTCTCTTCGTGGCACTGGTCAGAAAAATACACCGACGTTTCCTAGCTAATCAACGCGTGCAGTCATGCACCTCGAAGAACGTTCACGCGCATTACACGCGGCATATGAACGATGGAGCTTTCTACGCGATGGCATTCCCTTTTCTTCCATCGAGCCACCTCCAACGGGAACTTTTCCACGAGCGATAGGTATCGTTGCGCAAACAGACAGCGAACACCTTCGATTGCGAATAAAGCACCGGCCAGTGGCATGAGTTTCGAGCAAGGTTTCGCTCGCAGGAGCGGTGCCCTGCGCCCGAGTACGTGTAAACGGTAGCGTTAATTGAGTTTCGAGCGTTGTTTTGCAAATTGCGCGAGCACGTTTTCCTCGTGCAATTTCCAGGACCCTCGTGTCGGTCGTTCCACCGCCGACCATCGTTCTGGAATGCAGAAAACGCGCCGCGGGAGAATCGGTTTCGTCGCACGTGCATCGAGAAACTTCCAAGAAATTTCCAAGAAATTTCCAAGAAACGCCCGAGAATCTCCATTTTCGTACGCGCATCGCGATAATTAATTCCTCGCGACGGAATCCCTTGGAACGCGATTAATCTCGAAATCGCTGGATCAGCGCGGTAACAATTACGTACGCGGGATTGTCATCTACAGGTGAGAGAATATTCGCATCGATGCGTTATCGTCCCGAACGCCTTGCCCCTGATCCCCTAACGAACATACTCGAGTATCAAAATCGTATTCCTATCCACCTAGTTCCAAAGGAATACGTCGTTTCCTCTCCATCGTCTGGTCCTCATTGTCTCCCTCTCAGCTCGTTTAGCAAGACTAACCCCTCGCAGACGGGACCATTTTTCACGCGGGAACTCGTCTGGACGAGAAGTTCCGAGAGATTACGTTTTCAAGGTATAAACCTTGTTCTACTTCCACGAAATTATTCCTCCTCGCGAAAGAGGGCATTCTCGAACGCGTAGACCGCGATACTAAAATATCTTCCGCAATTAATCGACGTTCGTCCGCGAAGACTGAAAATCCCGTGTTTCCTTCACTTTTCGCAAATTCGCAAAGTGGAACAGTCCCTATTTCGCAGAGTCTCCCTTTTCTCGTTTCTTCCCGTTACCGATACGATCGAGCGTCAGCGGAATGGCTGATCCCGAGCGGAAACGTGGCCGCGGATAACGCGGCGCATTACGGCGCGCGGATGTGACCTAGAAATTCTTCGCGAGAGGAGTGAAAGTGAGGGAACGGACTTTTTCTCGAGTTGTCGAAGTGGAGAAGCGGCTGGCCGGAGTTTGGTATACCATGCAGCGTGCAATTAAGCCGTACGATAAATCCAGATCGAGACAGCCGATACTCGAGCGGACAAAAAGTCGATTCGTGCCTCGAGCCTGCAAGTAGGACGCGCTCCGAGCCACAGCTCGCCCTCTCGAACAGCGTGAATCGGCCGATTGTCGATCGATCGAAAATAAACGAAAGAAGGGAAAAGGCAGGCGTTCACCTCGATTATTATCGCGTTCCCGATGACGTTTCCCGGTTACCGGGAAGCCGCATTTTCGTTCACTTTCCTCCGGCAGGAGAAACTCGGCTTTTAGCCGCGTCCCATTCGTTACTTTAATTTCGTTTAACGAAGAAACGCGCTCCGTCGAGTAGAACGCTCGTTGCAGTCGTTTGAGGAGGCGCGCGCGGAGAAACGAGAAGCGCTAACGAGAGGAAATCGGACTAGCCTCGCCGGGAAACAAGTGGGAAAATAGAAAAAGATCGCGCCTACGGTTACAGGATGTCTGGCGCTGTTAACGTAAAAGTGTATCTTTTGCGTCCCCGCAACCGATTCTCGCGCTACACAGTCCGTTACGCGAGCCGTGAGAATGTAAATACGGGTAACACCTGGCAGAACCAGGCTTCGACTCGACGCGATTCATAAATTGTATCTAGTTTTTACATAACTACCAGTATACATGCGTCAACCAAAGTCGAGAAACGGCTCAACGGTTTCGGAAATTTCGCTTAAAAACTCGATCTCGAATCAGGCTTCGTACGAGAATTTAACCCTTTTGGTGCCTATGCGAAGATAATTGGACGAATTTACCGATAAAAACGAAACTAAGAACGATACTTGACAAATTCTAAATGCAGCATATTACCGAAGAAAGAGATGTATGTGATTGTAGCGACCATCATTCTCGCCATCGCCACTAGATGGATTCCGCCGTCGAGGACTTTCTCGCAAGTCCTCGGATAATTCCCAGTTCCTATATATATAACTTCCCGTCTTTCCAATAGTATCCCCAGTGTCTAAGGCAGGGCTTTCTAAGCAAGCCTTACCGATGAGTCCGCTTAGTTAGGCCCAGGACGAAACACGTCCCTTCCTTTTCCTACCGTCCCTTCTAGCTACCTACTACCGAGGATACCTCTGACCAGCTGACTTCTCAAACGACGGTGGGGGAGAGGAGGACCCCCACACACGATCTCTTAGAATAGACGACGTAAACAGTCAGAGACGACAGACAAACGTTTCCGACTTACGCTTAAAACACTTGAACTCATCGATGACGACACGATCGGTTAAGGTGTGTGTGTCTTCGCACCTTCTCGAGCCGAAGGACCGTCAGTAAAATAAAGACCTTTGATGAAGAAAGTCTTCTGGACCACTAGTCCCATCTCCCTAAACAGGGAGAATAATGTAATGCCCAATTGTGTTTCGATATTCGTTGAAAATCGTACGAATAATCTCGATATAAAACACGATGGAAAACATAGAAACGATAGATAATACATTTTCGATCATTTTTAACCCTTTGTACTCGACAATTTTTTGGCTAGAGAAGAGTAGAAATTCAAAGATTCTCTACTAAAACTGACGATACTTTTCTGAACAGTAAATAAAGAATCGTAGAATTATTTGATTTCGATACCTCGCGCACTGTTACATTACATTAAATTTGATATATTAATTAATATCGATCTTCCAAACTTTATGAAACGGTGACTGAAGCTCACCTCTCGAGTGCAAAGGGTTAATAAAATAAACAATATGAGTCCTGGGAACGAAAGGATAACTGTATGACACCAACCAGCATGGAATATAACAAAAATTAAACCCGAAAACAATTTTTTAAATTCTTTTGCAACGAAATTAAACCGTTTATAGCGTTTTACAAATTCATTTGGAGATGGAGCTTTTTCGCGATGCGAAGAATAAGGCGCCATCGCATATATCTACCCAATATGAGTCCTGGGAACGAAAGGATAACTGCATGACACCAACCAGCTTGGAATATAACAAAAATTAAACCCGAAAACAATTTTAAAAATTTTTTTCCAATGAAATTAACGTTTTATAAATTTATTTTGAGATAACGAAGAATAAGGCACCATCGCATACGTAACGATATATCGACGTTGGCACTTTTCGCGAGTGTAGCGCACAACGACATGTAGTCGTCCGGCACTAAAAGGGTTAATACTCTAGGGGAACTTATCGTTTCTTAACTTTCGTCGATAAGCGATCTTGCATCCCGTATCTTATCTAGTAGGTAACATTCAGTTTGCGATATGCGTTCCGATGCACACCGGTGGCCGATCGTACGCGATCATTGCATAACGCGATTTTTTTCTCGAAGCTAACATCCGTTCTACACGAGGATCAGCTGCACGAGAGAAACTCCCCGAGTCGTACACTCGATTTTTCGATTCGCATCGGTTGCCGATAGAAATTCCTCGACATTGCACGCGACCGACGCGTGTTTACGAAGTACGCGGGAAGAAAGAGAGCAGAGAACTCACCTCTGCGACGCGTGCTCCGAGCACGCGAAGACCTTGGACACCTGGTTCAGTTCCTTGATCCTTTCGACGCAGAAGTGGCTGGTGGGTAAGGTGACGCCGTCGATTTCCATGCCGCCGTCCGGCAGTAATACAGAGTCCTTCGCGTCGCCCAAAATCGTCAAGTTGTCGGAATGAGGGCAGTTCGGGAAACCAGGCACTATCTCCACGGCTGCGGACACGTTGGGCAGCAGAGGCGTCGGGTTCGCGGTCTCCTTCAAGTCGGAGCACGAGTGTCTGCGAACAAAATTTTCGGTTATTTCTTTCGGCACCGTTCGTCGTGATGGATCAACGCGAAGGTATGATCGGGGAAAAAAAGAAACAAAAGATCGCGAGCGTTGGGAAAGGTAAGATGGATAGTGCGGTAGGAGTCATCTACGAGTGTTAGAGTAAGTTGAAATTGAGGTGAAAGGATTAGGTAACGGGTGTACCGCCAGTCGAGGCGTTAAAGAGCGATGATTCAGAAATTCACAGGTTTTTATCTAATGGCGGATTGGGTAAGAGAAACTTGCTCAACGCGACTGACAGCAAATTCTTCGCGTCGGAATACCCGATTTTTCTTTACTAAAACAGAAGTTAGCCTGCTCTCGAATCGATTAATCGGGAAAGTTATCTCGAATACGAGTTCGCTAAGCTGATACCAACTTTCCAAGTTTCCATCCGCGATATTCCGCGTATCGTGAGGGATAGTCGGCAGGGAGCCGGAGAGATGCACCTGAAAGCGCGATAAATTAATAGAAAGATGGAGACGGGGCAAAGGAGCAACTGTTAGCGGAAACTCGGAGCTCCGTATGGCGCGTTAGGCGGTTAGACCGAAGGAATGGAAGCAGTGCGAAAGAGCAAGAACTCGAACCGCTACCAGGCGTCACGAGTGGAAAAAGAAAGAAAAGGAAGGTGTATATATCGTATCGCAAGAATTTATCTAGGAAACGCGCTGGCTGGCTACACAGAATGCCAACAAAGTCCACGGAACGCCCAAGCCTGAGCGATTGGGAGCGCGATTAAAACGAAGCCCAGCATTTTTTGTTTACTCGAGCGTCACGCTTGCATCGCAAACAGCGCATTTTCGAGGGAAACCACTCGCAACTTTCGATCAATTATTTTCCTCTTTTTCCCCCGCCAGTGCTGGCGTCAAACGACAACCGGCGCCTCTCGATAAAAATACACCCGGCGCGGGTAAACCGATAAATTTCGTGTAACCGACCGAGCGATTACAGTTATTCCCGAAGCTAGTCGGCGTTCCTTTCGACTCCGATACTGTCGCCGCTAGAATACAAATCACGGGAATATTTGTCTGCAAGGAATATCGATTCACCCGGCTAGCTCGTCTAAATTATGCAATTTCGTTCGAACGCTGGCCCATATGAATTTAATTTAACCGCGTGTTTTTAGGTTCGGTACACTGGCGAGTGGTACGCGTGGCATATCGGGGTGCTCTTACGTGGCCGTAATACAAATATTAACTCTGCCCAGGAAAAACAAGTTCTAACGCGTTTCGGGTGCTCTGATGGACAAAACACAAATAGCCAGGCGTCACCGAATTATCGAACTACGCTCGACGTGTCCTCTGATTAGTGTCCGAGTCGTCGACCCAAGCCCTATCGCGCCACCGAACCGAACGTCAACAGAACCTACGAAAACACTCACATTTCCTCGTAGAAGGCCGCGTCTTTGCCACAACACTTTCTGACCCTCGGCCTCATCGTGGCAGCCGCGTGGTTTCCTTCCATCTTCTTCTTCATGCACACGAGCAACGCGTTCGAATCGGCGCAATACTCGTCCGGACCGACGCTTTCGCTCATGTGGATATCGAGAAGCACGTGGCCACTTTCCATAAGTACGAACGGATTGGTGAGTCTGTAGGGAACATAGGTCAACACCGAGCTCTCGTCGCACACGGGCCTCTTTC